AAATATTTTACACGATTATATTCATATTAGGGCTAAATAAAGAAAATCAGTAACATGTTTTAAAAATATGCCCGAGAATCTAATCGGGAAAAGAAAAACCCGCGGGCTAAATTATCATAGACTGTATTGCACACCAACATTTAACGCTTTGTCAAACAAACCAACTCGCCCGAATTAGTTTAGGGAAGTAGTGAATTACAGAAATTTAACAGTAAAAATTGGTATTTCCTGGTTTACTCATGACATTTCTATCGACATATCGTTCAGCGTTTATGGCAAATAATGAATGATGGTGATCCGTATTATTTCTATTCAAGGTGATCCGTATTATTTCTATTCAAGGTGATCCGTATTTTTTCTATTCAAGGTGATCCGTATTTTTTCTATTCATGGTGATCCGTATTATTTCTGTTTATGGTGATCCATATTTTTTCTATTCAAGGTGATCCGTATTATTTCTATTCATGGTGATCCGTATTATTTCTATTCATTGTGATCCGTATTATTTCTATGATACATTCGTATAAGTCATAGTATCTATTACTCGTCTCTTTCAAAACTACAATATCTTTTAGCTTTAAGACAAACGGAATGAACTCACAATGAAATGATTGATAATAGCTGTTGGCTCTTGTTTCCTGATCCTCGATATATAGGTTATGAAAGACACTTTTATTTTCTCTTTAAAAATTACAATTTATATTGACTGAAAAGTTAAAACAGTTTATAACTATAGAACTTATTCTTTATGTGCCGTTTCCTTTCAGCACGTAGGCGATCATGGCTCTCCTCAATTTCCTGTCCTTCATAACTCTTACTAAATGCTGTATTTTTGGTATTTCTCTTAAACCTTGTTCCACCATCCATTTACTGTAGTTCAATAGCCATGCTATGCGTTGTTTTCCTTTCTACTTCTTGCCTTCAATCTGTCCTATGAGTATCAGCATTTCTAAGACCTCTTTCCTCCTTATATACCCTAGAAATTTCAACTGTCACTACCCGATGTCAAGCATATTTCCTTTTAGTTTCCATTTTCTCTAAAACTTTGTTGTTGCTCACATGTTCGCTCAAAGGTATCCTTGACTCCCTTCTATAGAACGACATTTCTGTTGCTTCAAGACACATCTTCATCTTTGAGGAGATTGTCCAGCATTCACTACCATACAGGAGGACAGATACCACGTACCAGTTTAGTACTCTGCTCTTTGTTTCTAACGAAGTTTTCCTGTAGTTTAGTTTTCTGCTTAGCTTTTAGATTGCATCTTTAGCAATACAAATGCGCCTTCGGATTTAAGTATCGCACTTTCCGTCATCTGTTTTCCCAGATATTTAAGTTTTTGTACTTGTTTGATTTTTGTATCACCAATTTGTTATTTTGATTTTAGGTTCATCCTTTTGCTAATAACCATGCATTCTTTCTACTTGCAGACGATGTTTACTCCTTTCGCCTTGCTTTTCTTCATTGCCTTCTGTAGGTGTTTTTGTAGATTTCTTTTCGTCTCTGTTATCAATACTGTGTCATCTGCATATCTTATGATACGATTCTGGTTGCCAATAATGAAACAGCGTAGGACTTCTAATTCTCTAGAAATTGCCTCGCTATATGAACTGAATAAGCCCGATGAGAAGACATAGCTTTATATTTTTCTATATAAGCTGAACTCATTTTCTGTTTGTATGCAGATGGTTTACTGCTAGTATAAGTTATTGATTATTCTAATATCCTACCCAAATATGCCAACGTTGCTAAGTAGTTCCAATAGGTCTTTGTAGCGTAGTTTCCATAATCTATAAAATACTGATAGACGTCTTTCTGCATTCGCATTGCTCTTTCTGATATCATTCTGAGTAGAAATATCACGTTCCTTGTTCCAGTATCTTTAACAAACCCGCACTTTTCTTCTATTATTTCTGGTCTGATTCTGCTGCGTTCTCTAAGAAGCTCAAATAATTGATTTGATGATTTTTAATGACATATAGAAAAACAATAAATCTGCTATTATTTTACATGCTGGTTCATTATTCTTAATATAAGTATCGCGTTATCACGTAAAAATCTTTTATGCATCCTGGTAGCATTAAACTCAATGTCGATGTTGACTTTGAGCGCATGCGCATGCATATGTATGACAACACAAATGCGAAATGAAGAAATTTTCATTGATCTTTATTATCGGTTGTCTGTTATTTTTTTTATTTTCTTTTACAGTAAATTTCACCCTGTACAAGGTCCGGGGGCCATTCCCAGTAGAGGGTTTACGTTAAGAGGTAGTTTATACGGATAGAAGGGGAAGATAACGATTAACCCTAGACTTGAACAGGTTAAGATCATTGTGATCGAGGAAACATCTTCTTGGGAGTCGTTTCCACAGAACAGTGTTTCGCGGGAAGAAGCTGTTTGAGTGAAACTGACTTATCACCGATGGAATAAGGAGGAAATACGGCAGGTTTGCTACAACATAAGTGATATGGTGGGTCGTAGATGTGAAAGTTAAACCTAGTGAAATCAAGGGATGCAGATCGTTCGAGCATTTTCCATGGAAGTAGCGACAAAGCAGCAAGAGGCTTGACACATCCCGTCTGTAAAAGAGAGAAAGAGGTTGGAGGGTGGAAAATAATTCGTCAGCCAAAAAGACCCGGAGACGCTTTCGAACACTATCGAGTTTGGAAACTGTTATGGTGACCTGTCTACATTAGAACGAAGTCTTCCTCCTTCATAAATACTAACCTGCGAGATTTCCTAAGGAGGCAGTCGGGACGCAGTGTAACCTGACAGTTTTCTTTCAAACACGCTCATTTTTTTATGCAGACAAACAAAATTAATCATACATATATATAAACCCATTAATACATCTGTCAGAGAAAATATTTGACGAATACAATAGTAAACTATCATTTTATTATTTTTACTGGTAGCCTGAATTTGTTGACATCATATTCTATTCAGCAATCTGTCTAGCGATTCTCATTTAACATTCCTTAATTCAATATTTTTTTCATGCTTCCTAAAAGACGTCTGTGAATATTTTCTGTTCTCATCTACATCTATTTTAATGTTGGACGAGAGTTTTTCTATTCGATTAATATTTCAAGAGTTCGGGTTCATTCCATTAATTTGGTATCTTTGAAAGTTTTTGGAGGGCAAAGTTGGTCAACAGTTAACATTGCACAAAAAATGAAAAGGCATTTGCGTGCATGAATATATTCACTAGATTGAATTACTGTGGAGAAATCATTTTTCATATACATCTTCACCCAAATGACACGTTTCACTTTTTATGCTTACCTTTAATGTAGTAATTTGTTTTCTTTCATGTATTTAAACAATGTTTTTAATCTACTGAAACTTTCTTCTTATGCCCGTCAAATAACTTTTTGCTTCTCAACCATCTTTTCTCACTTCTTAGTTTTGTTTCCTTAAATCTCTTTATCTGACATTTTACAAGCCATTTTTTTCGTGATTTTTTTCTTGCTAATATTTCCAATTTCCAATTTCTTTTTTTCATTATGTCGTGATCTACGTTGAACTTGTTTGCAACTGCTTAAGTTGGGATCTCGTCACCTAAGAATTTTACGATAACTTGTTTATCTTTTGAGGTTATAACTCTCAATGTTTCTAACAAAATGATATATTATAAGCTAAACTTCATATCGCATATTTGTTACCTAAATATCCTGAATATTTTACTAAAATCGATTGGGCAATAATTTTATTGCCTAAAACTGCATTGCATAATTAGATGCGACATTTTCTTTTAAGTTTTAACATAAGGAAATATTATTATATGCTTTGCTATAAATATCAGCATATCGTAGATTTTATTAATATTCACCGAGTACAAGACTCAAGATCACGTAAGATAGACGTTTACCGAATCTGGTGTGTGATATGAAAATAAAAGAATGAAGGTCATTGAATTGAAGAGGTTAGGGTCATAGTGCTCGAGGAAGCGTAAACGCAGTAGTCTGCCTCACAAAGTAGCGATTCTTGGGGAAAGTCTGTATGAGTGGATTTTCCTCTTTACCATTGGAATACATAGTAAGTGATGGTGCTTAGACTCTATAGACATAGAATGGCGGATTTTATCTATAATGTAGAACTAGAGAATGGTGATCGTCTGGACATTTACCATTGAAATGGCGATAGAGTAGCCATAAGCTTGCAAAGTAAAGAGGCGTTGTTTCGAATTCCAGTCGAATCTATTACATTCACTTCCGTGTTAATACCCCTGGAAAAGGTGTGAATCCTCTTCTTCCCCCACCCACCACGCTCTCAGCTATGGTTAAATAGCAGGACGGACCGTGTTCTATAGCTTTGGATGACAACTGGTCTAGCGCAGAAAGAAATGGCAACCTACTGCGGGAAATATCTGCCTCGTCAGACATGTATCAAAAGACGGGTATCCCGGATGGCGCATAACTGATTGACTGATGCTGGAAATAAGTCATCCCCAAACAAGGCTGACTGAATGCTTTTGAACTCTACCAGGATTTGAACGTGAGGGTTGGGCATCTCCCGCCGAGATATGACAGCAATATTCCATTCTTTCTTCTATTGCAGAGAAGGTCAGGTACTTTCTAGAGCGGTAGAATTAACCGACCATTTTTACAGCATCTTTTGAAATAGATCGCGACTTTCACTTGAGGTCTGATTGGAATTTTAGTTTCAATAGACATCCAAACTAAGTATCCTCATTGAATAATACGACCGTGCATGATGACAAGAGAAAATTCAGGGTGTTTACATTATTAATAAGATTTTACTGATGGCTCTAAGGAGGCTGGTGGAGCGATATTGCGACAGGGATGAACACTCTCCGGAAAATACATGGCATCTTCCCTGAAGTTAAGGCAGCGGAGATTAATATAAATAGACCGTGTACTTTTGTCAGGTGTCTGTCTTGGAATTTCGAAACGATCTCCTTATTTAAACTACAGAGTGTACATTGTTCCCATTCCACTTTCCTGCTTAGGAACTTAATACTCTTCAGTCTTGGTTAGCTACCATATCACGTTGAAACACCAGTTCCCGTACGATAACCGACATAAAGCAACGTCGAGCCTGATCAGTACTTAGATGGGTGACTGCTTGGGAATACCAAGTGCTGTAAGCTTGGATGTGTGGGTGGTGTAAAGGATGTCAAGTCTGAATTTTTAATCGGACAGCCAAGTTCCAATTCCAATTCGTTTTTTTTTATATTCACTGACGCACAAATACCTTTAGGAACAGTATGAATCCACCACTCACGACACATTCCTGGGTTATTTAGTCGAACTTGTAAATCATTATTATCTCAAAAACATTCTTACAATCTAAAACTATTTTCTGGTTTAAATAACCTGCAAATGGTTGATAAGCTGTAATAAAAAAAAAAAATAAATCCAGTCTTTTTTAACTTTGACTCACTTACATGACTTTTCAACATTACCAAATCCAAGGATTAAGCTTACAACTGACAAGTAGTCCGATATTTAATCGACTACGCTATCTTTACTATAACATCAGCCAATTACAGCAGTGTAAATATACTTTGTTTTCTCGATAATTTTAAAGACATTATTCCTATAAGAAAAATTCGTATCACGAGTATTTTTTCAATCTCAGAAGCTGTATTAGTACCCATTCCTTCATAATAATATTGGAATTTTCCAAGGGCTTCAATTATTAGGTTGGTGCAAAAATAATGTCGTTTTTTTAACGTTCAACTTAGCGTCAAAAAACGACATTATTTTTGCACCAACCTAATATTAAAATAAGTTTATGCGTTGTCTGATTCTTTCATTTGTATCCATGTTAAATGCATGAATCCATCTCTTCCCGTACGAGTTATGGACTCAACAGCATGTTAATTTTGCTATATTGCCTTGGGTAGCAGCTATTCTGGGAGAAAAACTACAAAGAAAATCATGCAGAAAGCAACAAGAAATCACTCTACTATCTTTTCCAGAATCATGGCAATTCACAGATAATAAAGACAATCAATGGAGAGCCAGATAGGACATGACATTTAAAACCAGAATCTATATTTAAAAAAAAAAAACGAGTCAGTGTAAAAATATACACCTACTGCATAAGATGCTGTCATTTTCAGAAATTGTACAAATCCAACAATTCAAACTTGCTGGACATACTTTAGGCTTATTTCTTGAGCACCCGGTGGGGATCGAGTTCTATTTTACTCTTTTTTGAAAGCTAACTACTATTCTACAACGAAATTTGATGATAGCTTTTTAAAAAAAATTGTAAATAACTTACGATTATGGTGTTTACAGATAAGTTCAATACAGTGAATCAATAAATCCCTTAATATGTGGCCCTTAATTGGCCCCAGTTCTATCAAATTTGTGCAACAGATGTCTTACTGTTTTTCATTTTGTTGGAAATCCTCTTCTGCAGTTCTTGTTTTTAAGAACTCTGGAGATCCATCTGATCCTTCGAACTATAGACCTATTACATTTCTACCTCTCTTTGGCAAAGTACTAGATGTTCTAATTAACTCCGAATTGGTTAAGCATCTTACCTCACAGGGTTTCTTTTTCGGATAAACAATATGGTTTTCGCTTCTCTAGGTCAACTGCTGATATATTGACGGTTATTACTAAAAATGTATATACGACAAGCTTTAGATAAGAATGGGCAAGCCTCTAAAACGAAACTGTCCTCCATCAATTATCTTGAAACTTTTTTTTGCTTTCCATCAGCATGGCTGATGCTAACTTCCAGGAGAGCAACCCTGTACATTCTTGGTCTCACGTTTTCCACTGACATGAAGTGGGATGATTATAATGAATCAATTACTAAGCCTGCTGCTAGGAAAGTCGGTTCTGGCGTGCTTGAAAATGTTTCTTGCCAGAATATATCATGCATGTTTATAAATTTACTATTCACCCATGTATCGAATATTGCTTTCATATCTGGTCCGGTGCTTCAGTTTTATATCTAGAGATGTTTGACAAAATCCCAAGAAGAATTTGCAGCATTATCGGTTTTGACCTGTCATATCAGTTTCAGTCACTTTCCCACCACCGTATGTAGGACCTCTTTTCTCCTTTTCATAGATATTTCCTTGTTAGCACATCGACTTCAAAAATTTAAGCGAAATACTAGATTGTCAGTTAGGTCTCATAATTTCACTGTCAAAATCACTAGTTGTAACCATAACCTTTCTGTTGATAGTTTCTTCTCTCACACTTATTGCTTGTTAAATTCTATTCCAGTTTACTCCTTTCCTGTTAACTACGATATTCGAAAGTTTAACTGCAATGTCAATCGTCATCTTCCTTAAAACCTTTTCTTTTATTATTCTCTGTTTTTTGGGGGACTTTTTAGGGTTTTTTTTGTTGTTGTTGTTTGTTTCTTTTCACTCTCAGTAATCCTTTAAATGTTTCTGGCTTTTATTGCCTTGCTTGGGATGAAATGATTCAAGCAAATCTCTGAAGATATTATTAATAGTAATTATACTAACGGTAATTTTTCTCGAACCATATTTTTGTCATCCATACGTTATATGCTGTAGAAAATCTTCAATACCCATGAGGTAATAGATTAAAAAGATATCTACAGAGAAAGACAAATGTAAAAATCAAATTCTGTGTGCACGCATAAAAAGTCGATAACCTACATCAAATCAATGAAACCTGCACTCATGGAAATTGTTCAAAGATGCCTATTAAATGCCATTTCAAAACGCGAACTTTAAAATTGGGAAAGTAATAATAATAATAACATTAATGAAAAAATAGAAACAGAAACATTACCTAAAAGTACGTTATTAGTTTCTACGAAAACATTATATTTTTACCATATAAAAATCTAATGAAAGAAAATAAGAAACTACTTTAATAGGACCTACAAGCTACTTTGGAATTTTTACTTTCAAATGCATCACGCAATCCTGACCAAAATAATAGTCAGCAATGATTGTAAGATATAGATGTAGCATATGCAACAGACCACAGAGAAAAAAAAAAGAAAGAAAACGGTTAGTCAAATTGTAAAACTCAAGTAATATGCGAGAGGAAAATCATTTACAAAATTGTCTGGATCCAAGAATAACTCCAACACTTTTCACTGAAAGACCAGAATAACCTGAGATGGAGAAGATCGAACAAAAAAAGAGACATTTTCCTTTTTTTTTTTTAACCTTTCCTAGTTAACGCCATCGCCATTTTGAACGTCAAATCGAGAAAAATTTTGGAAAAATGATCTGAACTTGTGTATCGAGGGAGCTTCTAAAAAATTAAATACAAATACTGCAATCCAGAACAAATGGTATCTGAAAGAATTATGCCGAAATAAATTTTGAAAAGACAGAAAATTAACAAATTTCACTTCTCTCCAGAAATTGACGAGACTACATCAGATGTTAAAACAACCAAGGTTGTTGCAGGCTAAACTTGTCGATCATTGCCCCCATTAGTGAGTTTGATCTTCACAAAGATTCATTTTTATATAACATAGCAAGTGGCTACCTCGAGGTGGTGTAATGGTTAGCAAGCTTGTCTCGCTAGAACAATTACGGCTGAGTAGTGAGTTCTATTCTCAGTGGGTGCCTCCTAATTTCAGCCTTGTGCATCTAGACTATGCTTGGAAAATCACTATATAACACAGCAAGAGAAGACGTCATAAAATTGTTGCATTGAGTCTATTGGTTCTAGTGGGCTCTCGGCAGTTCCTTAGGAAGATCTCAAACGCTGAATAAACATACCGGATTAACGATCGGCAATTTTCTTCAGATTTCTTGAAGGAAGCGAGTGAAAGACAGATGTAAAGACAGAGAGAGAGAGAACGGACGTCAACAAGACGGACTACTATAATCTTCTCCACTTGCGTGACATGCTAGAACTATATAAGTGTTCTCGACTTCTGTACTGCGCAATATTTTTTCCTTCTTTTTTTTGAAGACGGAGCGATTATATCAGAAGTTAGACGAAGATTATCCACCAGTGTCAGGATTTTAAGCACACAATTTGCAAACACCTCCACTTAGTTCAAGTTACTTGAGGACAAACTTCCGACCAGTAAGGTGGTGTCTTGAGTTATATTCATTGCCATTATCATGTTTGTTCAACCGACGCATTCTGTACCAAAGTCACTTAACCTGATTTTGAGCAAAGGGAAGATAGTTTGTTAAATAGTTAGCAAAAAATGTTTAAGCACGACACATATATTCGGCACCCGCTCGCATCCGAGTTTCGGGAACGTTATCATCTCTCCTTATTTCCTTTCTCCTGTCTGGTAGTGGTGATAAAGATGGCTGTGAAGCCCCAGTCTACTCCTGAAGAGTCATGATCAGGAGTCACAATGAAGTGTGGATGGTGGACGCAGTTGGACGACTCACGCCCTCCTGACAGCACGTCGCAGACCCTCTTCATGTTGATGGTTTGATGCGAATGTCTCACTCCGCCACTCCGGAAGGCCGATTTGTTGTAAAGGTGTCCATTGTCTCAGGTCGATATTGGTCTGTGTCAGGGATGCTTTAAACTGATCGTTGAAGCGCCGTTTTTTGGGCCTTCGCGTAGCCTCTTGCCGTTGGCGAGTTCTCCAAACAGGATGATACGTGAGAGTCGAGTGGGACGCGTTATGGACACGTGACCTACCCAGCGAAGGCAATGTTGAATAAGGGTAACCTCGATGCTGGGGAATTCGTTGTTGGTGATGAGGTCTTCCCAACTGATATGAAGGATTCTTCGGAGCTTCGTTTGCGGAAACGACTCCAAACGCTTGATGTCCCAACAATACAAAGTTCAGGTTTTGAAAGCGTACAGAAGGCGGGAGAGAACCACGACTCGGAAGACCATGATTTTGCTTCTTATGATGAAGCCGTGATTGTTGAATACCCGGCGTAAGAGCGTTCCGTACGTTTTTTGAGCCGCTTTTATCCTGTTCTCAAGGTCTCTTTTCATGTGATATTATTCGAGATGCATCTCATATACAAGTGGAATGAAAGTAAAAAGCATGGAAAATATCAGGATCCTACTTGAAAACTAATGTGTTTACACAGCATGGTCTTGGAGAATGTTCCTACACTAACTGGCATATTAGAAACTACCATGACGACACACGCGGCTAGACTTCAGATATTAAATATCCGATGAAGAATTGCTTTTAT